TCCAGTTCCCTCAGCACTTCTATTTAATGTTGCCACATTATATAGCAGTTCACCATCACTGACGTATTACAAATTATCTTTTAGGAAGCATACAAAGAAAAGCACTGAAGGATGCTTCTTCACATATGAAATGAACACTCACATGATTGAGTTCCTTCAAGCTGTGCATCATACATCCATGCAGAATTCAGATTCTACCGAGTTTGGATGCCAATAGTTATAATTAATTTTAGCATTATTGTAATACCCCAGGCTCCTAACAAGTCTCTGAAAATCACATATAAATAAGTCATACAAGACCTTTCTTCAGGCACAGATCAACCTCTCTCTCAAACTGTTTCAGGATCCTTTACTTGAGTGAGTTAAAGTGTACTAGTATATAAACTAAGGTTTACATACAGAGTCGTTTTATTTAAATGAACTAGAGCTTTTTTCTTCCTGTTTGGTATTAATGCTTACAGTAATATTTTAGAATAAAGATTTCCACTCTCAGCAGTCACCAGCACAGAGATGAAGGAACAAAGAAGGGAAACTCAACATCATCTATTTTGTATAAGGATGTAAGTAGAACAGGCATTAATTCTCTCTTCCTTCTTCACATCCCAAAATCTATATGGAAAGGGATATAGAGGTATTTACAGAAACAGCAAAATTGTAACTTTTAGGGTCTTTTTTGTCATTGTCCACAAAGGGCATCACCTAAATGCTTTACCAAAATTTAAAAGATTATTCATCTGTATACACAAGGAGTACAGCAAACAAGATATTGGCATTTTCTTAATTTACACTTGCAGACCTTTAAAGACTCAGCTACACATCCAGCAGCTGAAGACTACGGAAGTCAGAATGCAACTGGAGCCAGGTAGTTACCAGCTGAGGAGTGGCCCCCCATTATTAATAGGACTGGTAAAATACCAATATTTTTACTCTTGTCATGCCTGTGAAATGTGAACTGCACAGAAAACTAAGATGAAAGAACAGGACAGCAAAACCAGAAACTTCCAAAGGGAAGTTGGAGTCAGATCCATGCCTGATGTTTTCCATGTTGTGGGAAAAAAAAATAGACACTGGGCTCTAAACCAGCTGAAGGCTCAGAGCAGAAGTAGCAGCTATTACTACTTCTGCCAGTGACTCTTTCATTAGACTTTCATTAGACAGACAACACAGAACAGGTTTGTGACCTCTGCTTTAAGATGCAGAGCATCTTTTCAATCTGTGTACCACTTATGACATGTTTTCAACTTGCATTATTTAACTTCTATTTCACTAAGTTGTAGCCAAATATCAAAGCAGTACAGCTCAGAGGCTGTCAGGTCACCAGCCCAAGTTTTTGCATAGGAACTGTCAGGTCACCAGCCCACCACTTTTGCACAGAAACTCAGAGCTCTTCTGATTTTGCCTACAGTCTTGCAAGCAGAACAAGCAGGTCTTCAAAGACAAGAAGAAAACAGTGGCAAAGCAAACTGATTTTTTCCATATAGAAAAGAGTAGGCTCCAGCCAGAAAACACGAGCATACAGTGAAGATTTTAAAGCAAACATCAATAGCAAGAGGTGATATGGTACATTATAACCAAAACACTGCAGCAGTTTTGCAGGGCACATGGCATGCCATATAGACCAATTTTATTCTTAGTATTTTAAATGAGAAACACAACCATATGACCCTTCTCAGTTACAGCTTTGACAAACCCAAGGTTTCCTTTTCATCTTCTTCAGTCTCCTCCTCTCTATTTCACCCACCATGCCTTCTTTCCAAGAAACATTAAAAAGGGGAAAATCTACGTTTGTTTTCCTTTGTTAAGACAATCCTCTTTTCACGTGCTTTGACATGCCACGCTAGAGTTTGGCAGGAAGCCCTCATAGTCATACCTGCTGCATTTAGTAAGTTATCCACAGTCATCTAGTGTATTCATCATTTTAAAGTAAAATCAAAGTATTACTTCATCCACTTAACACAAGTTTGCAGAAATCCCTCAGGATGCCTCCACCAAAAGTCAGATATAAGGATCAGCCTAGTACTGAGCATGACTCTCACTCAGTCTGGGCTCCAGGAAACAAGCTACCGAGCTGAGAGCAGGAAGACACTTCTGTTTCAGAAGCCTCTTCTACTGCTGCTCTGTTCAGAACACCAGAAAAAGTTGTTCATTTTATGGAGAGACAGAGGGGCAGAGAGGAGATGTAAAGTAACAGAGGGAGATCTAGGATTCTCCATAAGTTGGGCACAACCCAAGCTACCAAAAGCAGATGTCAAAGGCAGACCTGCTGTCAGCCAGAGGTATAAAGAAAAAGATTCTTGCTAATATATATGAGTATCACTGACGCTAAACAAATGTTCCTGAGTTTGCAGTGTATTTTGTTCAGTGGAGTCACATTTCAAATTAACTTGACTGCAGAGAGTGAGGTATATTCAAAGGGAAGAGAACATGGTGTTTCTTTGTTGTTTTTACATCTTTGTATGTTGGTATTAGTAATCCTGCTGTGAGATTTATATCTGCGATCTGATGAGGCATGTTTTAGCCTACAATTATAACTGAAAACAACATAGCAGCTCAGCAGTAAATGCATTTTCCAACAGCAAAGAAAATCTTATTTGTAGTTTGTGTCAAACACCTACCACTCAAAAAGCATTCAGTGGGACTCTGCCTCTGGGTACAGGACACTTGGGAAGATCAAGCAGGGCTTTGAGGGTTTTTGTTTTTTAAGGAAAATTTTTTCCCACTAGTAGTAGGATTCTATTCTGTAGTGACTGCACATCCCAGTTAACACTGTCTCTGTGAAACTGGTTTGTGGTAATCTCCCTAAAGGCACTGGATACAATGGACGCAGTGCACTGCACTGTGGGGTACACACATGCTGGTTTCTGACAGTCCTGTTGGGGGTCACAGATTATCACTTGGGGGAAGCACATTGCCAGTTTTCTCATTCACTGCTCTGGACCCCACATTTCTCTTTGCACCAACAAATGTTAATCCTAAACAAAACTGCAACTGCAATAATCTGCATTCAGGCCAGGCTACAGACAAGTGGGAATAGATGAATTCCCATAGTAGGAACTCGGATTAAACTTTCAGCAATGATTTATGAAGTGAACTATTATGTCAATTGCTGGCTACATTCCCATTCCAACAAAACCATATTTTGGATGGCCTCACAAAATAAGATCTGCTTTATAAATACATACATATATAAGCAGGTAAGCTACTCTTAAGTGATCAAACCAAGGAATAGAGTCCAAGCACCCAGTCAAAACTCCTAAGAAAATACATTGCTAATAACAAACAATCTCAAGTTAGGTTCACATGACTGTTTAGGCTAGTCTCAAATTCCCAGGGGTATTGTATGCACATGCAAAATTCTCAGAACGAGAATCCAGTACTTTGGCTCTGTCTCTCCAGGAAGCCTGAACCATGAGACCAGAATTTCTGACACCCCACGTAATATCACAAAGATGCAGATGGAGGGGGAGATGGGACAAGGAAACGGAAAGTCATAAAATACAAGTACACACATTTTCTGATTTCACTTTATTTTTAACAAGAGTCTAGCAGGCAAACCACAGCTGCCATTCTGACAATCCTCAGAGGCAGCAAGTTGTAGTGTTTGCAAGCAACATTCTCCTTCCTTTCCACCACAGTCGAGCCAGTGAGTACAAACACTTGCAAATAATTTGATTTCATCTGCACTGAATACATGTTCTGCAGTGCTGCTGCTGAGTTCAGTCTTATTACATTAAAATGGTTTGTAGTTACTCAATCTCTCTTTCTTTAATAGAAGATCATCACGCAGAGTTGTGATGTTGTGGAAGGGAAAGGAATTGAAAGTGAAAAGGAACCGTCAGCTCAGAAGTGTCCCCTTATGGGGGCAGTCAAATACACAAGTTGGGATGCAAATGCATCATGCCCAGTACCACACATCTAGTGCAATTACTCAGAAGATTTTCTCTGCAGACACAATCATAGTTTTCTCTCCCTACTGCCCAACAAGGCAGCATGACTGAATATAAAAGCAAAAGAGTAATTTAAAAAAGACACGTTCTGAATTCAAGCTCACCTTGTGTCTCTTATAGCATACTGATGAAGTAGTGACGGTTTCAAAGATCAAGCAGTATGTCAGCCATCCAAAACCACGTTTTCATCTAGGTTATTTCATTCACATACACACCACCCTTCGTAACACTTTCAAATGAGCTAGCAGGGCTAGGTAGGGGACCCTACATCACAACAGAAACAGCTTCACATAAGAAAGTGAAACAGACTGATTTACCTGGACAGCAAGTGTGCTGTGTGCTAAAATGTCCTCCCACCCTACTGCCTTCCAAAAGGCTCAGAAAACATTCATGTGCACTTCCTTTATCCCTCTTCCTACGGCTGCCAGAAAAATCCAGTTATTTTTTGAAAGATGCATCTTCTCCAGTCATAATAAAATTTTATAAATTTTGTCAACATTGCTACTTACTGTACTAGTCAAAATGTAAGAAAAACCTTGCCCATTGAAGTTGCCCAAAAGAACAGAATCTACAGCAAAACAATAGTATGGCAGAACAAGGATGGCTCACACTGGTAGCAGGTCATGCATACAGGAAAACCTTCAGCCAGATCTAGTCAAATTAGAAGACAAGTTGCTGCATTATCAATGTCCATGTGCATGTTCTATGAATCACAGGTAGTTTAAAATCAGTGTCACTGTGTGGAACTCACTCTGCTTGCTCCTATTCCCAATTCTCCAGGCAATTTATCGTCCACATCCTGTATCATATATTGTCAAGTATCCATGTGCCGGAACAGTCATCCACACACAGAAGAGGAAAGAAAACACCTGCTAGGTTATGTATTCTGTCCATTATGAGGTCTACAAGTCTATTCATTAACATCACAAAGTGATGTTAATAAAAATGATTAACATCTAAATGTTAATAACATTTCTAAAATACTAAAATATTGAAAAAGTTACACTGCCAAACACACATTGACAAGAAAAATCTGAGTTACAGATGACTCACTTGGGTGCAGTGCTCACTCACAGAGAAGGCAGTGAAGTTCAGTGAGTGACCTCTTTCTGTAGCACTAGGATTCACAGCAATGAGAAAGGATTTTGGCTAAAAAAAAAAAAAAAAAGATACTGCTCACTGACAGAGGCAAGTGTATAAAGTCTTAGTTTTAAATAACATTTCATCAACAAAACATACGCATCAATGTACAAAACCTAAGAGGATTAAGAAAAAGAAAGTTAGCAATACCACATCTAAAAAGTTCTCAAAATGATACTGTTGCTCTTGTGCCTTGTAGTTTCAGATCTTGTTAAAGAAATTGTCATTATTTGCCTTCTGGAAGTAGTTTAACTGTGGGGAAGCACACTGATAAGCTATGTATGCTTTAGCAAATCATTTGATACAACAGTACCTAACTAGGAAGACAAAGCAGCTAGTCAAGAATTCCATGTATCTATTTAGATTTATGTGTTTAGATTTAGATTACTTCAAACTCAGTTTAATCTCATCCCTTGGACTGAATCATATTTGTGATGGGGACATTCAAAGCTGTTCCAGCAGCTAGTCCTTGGTTTGGACTCTTACGTCTCCATCAGATGTCAAAGCTGAGCTGCTGCGCACCTGGAACAGTATTTATTTTTGAAATAAATGAAACATGAATCTAGTACAAGCACACCAGAACTGCTCTGCAGATGAAGCCAACATTCAGCACACGCTGGAGAAATTCCAGAAAAGATGATAGTGCACTATAAGGAGAAAATGTTATTATCCAGCTCACATATGGAGTGGTTTTTACTACTAGCTAATCAAGATCTGTTATTTTATGCTGTATACAAAAATTTCGCATACACAAGGAGTTGACTGCTCAATATCTGCCTTATATTGAAAACACTCTGAAGTATGTCACTGATTAAGAAATCACTAATTTAAATATTAAGACTTCACACTGACTTTCTCATTTGAGACAAGAGTCTTGGGCCATGGTATGCCAAATATCAATCAGAAAGTTATCACAATCACATATGTAGTTTCTTTTTCAGTAACAAACTCTACACCTTCATTTGCTCTCTGTATTTCTGATTGTGATCTTGTGCCAACCAATATAAACATTCCAGTCTAATTCTTAAAAAAAAAAAAAAAAAAAAAAAAGTGAAGGCTATTCTCAGCATCCGTTGAAATTAAATGGCCTAAAATAGTTTACAAAAAAAAAAAAAAAAAAGCAAGGCAGACTCACTGGTTGGGAATAATTTTAAACACTTCAACATCAAGAAGTGAGCAAAGAAGAATGCGAGTAATAAAACTGTATGTGCAGTCCAAAGCCAGACTGGAACTGTGGTCATATCTGTGTACACATAATGGTGGAACATTGTCCTCAGGGGGTGCACTCCAAGCAGCCTGTCCCCCATATTAATGACAGCAAATGGCTGTAGGCTCTCACCCACTCCCTTACTGTCAGAAGTTGCATTAGGAATAGATACAGGATTTGGAACTTCATTGCCACCTCAAATTCAAGTAATTCAAGATTTAGAGCTTTAAGATGTGTTGCACGCAGCAGGTGAATGCCTTTTAAAATGCCTGATTTACTTTCCTGTGCAGCTCAAGCTGTGTCAGGTATCCCAAGCTGTCTTAGGATATCTTTGGAGGGAGCACAAGAAGAGCCATCTGAGCACCCTATGGAAGATCCAGAAGCTGCTGACAGACAGCCATCTACAAGAACTGTTTTGTTTTGTTTTTTTTGTTCCCCTCTGCCCCCCACTTAAGTGCTTATTCCTGTAGCCAAATTTTTATGCACTGCCATTCTGCTGCATATTTTTCTTCACTTGGGTGTTTTCTCAGCCTCTTTCAGACACTCCTCAGCTCTTAGCCTTTCTGTGGAGCCTGCATAAACTCAGCATGGTTACTGTGTTTCTTATCAAATATACAAGCCTGTGATTTTTCACCTAATTCCTCAATAGTATTTATCAGTCACTGAAGAAGTCTGATATCTGCACTTAACACAAGAATATATAAATAAATAATAACAATACAGCAGTTTGAGGCTTTCCCATGGTATTTCAGACAAACTAAACTGAGAAACAGCAACAGTCCTCAATCTGAAGAAGCTCATAAATCTCTGCTTTTGGTAAAAGTCGATATTTTAAGAGTGTAGGGAAGCATTGAGGTTTTCAAGCCCCACCAGGGAATTTAGCCACCTAACAGCCACTGAAGCTAAAGATAATTGCCTGCCCAAATACCTTAGCCTTTTATTTTTTTTCCTTCCAAACAACCATCCCTAAACCCTGAGCTCAACCCTGCTGCTTTACTCAGCAAAACAGAACAATTGATCTCGAAGGACTCATACCCAAAGCCCTCAGCAATCATTCACTGCTCAGCTGCATAATAAAGGTCTTCACTTCTCTGTTGCAGACAAGCTACCTGCCGCAGCAGCAGGCTGGGCTTAACTTCTGGGCTTTCAGAGTTCCAGCACACTCAGCCTGCCTGCAAACAATTTACCAGCAATATAAATAAGTGATGGTGGACAGGCCAAGCCTGACAGAGGCTCCTGGCAAGTGACTGATGAATCGTGCCCCCAGGTGAGGAGAGGCAGCCGATACAAATGATGCTTTTGAACAATTTGTTTGCTGCTGCACTACTTTGTGGGCTACAGATTAGTTGAGGAGGACCTGTCGCACAGCAGACCTGGTAGTGGTGACACACTGTATGAAGAGCAAGCTCTTTGCACAGGGGGTAACATGACTTTCTGTCTCTACAGCACTGGGTCGGAAGGAAGAAAGAAAAGCACAGACAGTACAGTTCAACAGCAAGAAAGTGTGAGGCAATTCCCATTCAGTAAGGCCGTGACAGCTCCCAGCTCCTCTCCAGTTACAAGTGCCCCTGTACTGACTGCACAGACATCCCATAGCCTGAAACATGCACCAGAACTGCCCCCTACATTTGGCATCAAATAAGCCACTGCCACTTTTCCATTTGTGGAGTAAAACTTCCTCAGTTGCAACAGAAAGATTAAAGATGCTGTTTTCAGCAGGTGCCGCTGGTGGATTTACCAGTGACCCCCTCCTCTCAGTGTCCTTCTGCAGGAACACTTGGGGACAGCTGCCCATCCATCTCCCTGTTAATTTTATGAGAAAAAGTGAGAAGAGTGACCACATAATGGTGTCAGCAAACACTTCATTTCATAAACTCATCAATTCCGTATGCAAGCCCTGAGAGCTTGTGTTTATAGCTGGTGGCTGCTGAAGCCGGGGATTTGCTGCGAAGCTGTGGCACTGGTGCCTAGTGCGTACCTCTGCAGAAGTCACACACAAACTCTCTGATTCAGGCAGAGATGCACAGCAAGTTGATTCTCTGCCTCATTTCACATGAGCAGCAATTTACATAAAGAGGATACAGTCAGAATTGTCCACTTGTAAACCAATCTAAATAACAGCAATGACATGCTGGGGAGGGGGGCAGTAGCACGCTTGAGGTGTTTGTAAGACACACATTCTGCCTATTACACTAAAACAGCCTGAGCTTTTCATCTTTCACCAAAATACTCCAGTTTATGACTCAGTTTTTCCCTCCATATGGGCTGCAAGAATGGGGGCAGTTTACAGAAAATGTAAGTGAAGGAACCTCACAAGAGAAATGCATCATAATCGAGGAAAAAACATTATTTGAGCTTGGATTCTCGCCCCCATATAAACATAGTTCATTCTCAACAAGCACAGATTCAGTTGTGGAAACTGCTCTTTTGTTCCTGCCAAACACTCAAACAAAAACTCACTGGGGAAAGTTTTAACTAGCGCTCTCCACGCATGCACATTCGGCAAAGTATCCGTCCCCATTCTCTGAGCACAAAAAGCGCTTTTTGGAAACAGCTGTAAGTGCCGCCGCCTCATCTGGTACTGCTGGAGCCATTTATCTGTGCTCTCGCAGGAAGGAGAGAGCTCGCTCACAGAATATTAAGACCATTAGCCTGCAACAAAGGAGCCAAAGAGATTCTCAGATGCCTTGTGATGAAGTTGTTCAATGGCTACATCCTTACTGACTTTTTTTCCCAACTTAACTTGAAACTGAAGATGGGACAGAGCAAAACTGAAACACATTAGAGTGAAAACAATAGGACATCCTGTGAGGAACAGTGTGCTGTACAACCACTGTGTATCATCAGGAACTATGGGCAGGTGGCAAGGCAACTGACCCCATATGGAAAGCTCAGATAGAGAATAAACTCTTAAAGCATACCACCACCACCTGAGGGCTGCAAAGATAGGAAGACAAATCCAGCAGTATGTGCTCTGTGTAAGGAAGCATTTGTATGGGAGCATAAGAAACATGAACACTCCTAGGGCAGAGCCAGGATACACCCTGCGCCTTTACAGGAGATCCCAGCATCCATTGAACTAGCCACTGCTAGAGCATGCCTTGGATAAAGAGGAATGCCTGAAATCCCTAGAAAAATGTTGCTCCAGCGAGTACCTTTATAAAAGCCCACTGCCATTGACATCAGTGTGAAGATTCCTGCTAATACCTATCACTTGGCTTAAATTCCTTTACACGTAGGGTGGTGAACAGACCATTAACTAGGCAGACAAGAGACAGTCTGAGTATTTGAAGCGTGCATCTGTTTCTAGTTCCCTCAGGTTGACAATGGCATAAAACTCCAAAATTTTAGGGAGGAAAAAAACAACACTCCTTATGTCAGATATTCTAGAAGGTGCTCCTGGGCACTAACCTTACACAAGAACTAAGGTCACTGCTAGAATTCAAGTTTCCATCTTTTAAGTGACAACCTGTCACAAATCCTTTGTCCCAGCAGGGACAGAAACAGTCCTGGTCTAAACCAAAAGAAAGAGACTCACCACTGCAAAGCTGTGATCGTCACTGCCATGCACACACCACAGCTAGGAGGGTTTCACCACTGGGAGTGACAATGAAAACACAAACTTCTCAGTGCTCATTTGTCCTCAGTAAGCTATTTAGCTTGCTTCCAGTGTTTTGAGTAACACCCTGACTTCTTCATAAAAACTTTAACTAAGCAAAGCACCAATTCATTTCTTTACCTCTTCTCTCCTGGGAAGAGAACTATTTCCTAGATTTTTAATCCTGGATTTTGTCCAAGAAATTTTGCAGAGATAGGAGGCAGAAATGCTGTTTCCACTTCTCTTCTTGGAACAGGATTCAATTTTCTACAGCAAATATATACACATACACACACACAGAAAATTCTTCCTTTTCCTCGTCAAAGATTTTTTTTCTGCTGCCACTACTAAGCCCGTGTAAGAAATATCCCTTTCAATTAAGTTCAATCTTGGTATGTGGCTCTGTTGAGAAAACACTGCCTCTGCAAGCCTTTAAGAAATACAGCTCTCACTGTCTCAAGATATATTAAAAGGTAACATCTGAGAGTGAAGAAGCGAAGGAATCATATATGCACTTAGTGGGTTTTTGGTTCTCTGCCTCCCACTTTTCCAGTGCAAAGATTTTAGTATTCCCTTCTGGCATTTTGTTATGGTGGTGACAAATAGCTTACAGAATCATACCACAGTTACGGGCATTCTTCTGTCTGTTCTTAGTGTGGGTCAGGAAGACAAGTAAGTTATTGTTGCCCACTTAATAGTTCATGTTTTTGTAACAAGGATACAAGAGGACTAAGGGTTGTCAACATGTTTGTCTTAAACTCAGAACTGTTTTCTCATAACAGAAAAGTTAGAAAAAAAAAAAACTACACAACCCTGAGCACAGTACTTCTATTGCCTTTAAGATGCATTTATTCTGTCCTTTGTCTTTGGCTAACTTCTTCTCTACTCAGTATTTCTTTACTGAAGTAATTAAAAAGCTGGATGCAATTTTGATATTAAAAAGCTTGATTGAAGAGGACATAATCATATGTAAAGAGTTATAATCCAGGGACCGAATGATACAAAGGACAGATGGAATTTGTTTGACATGACAATTTTCTCTTATTGTTCTGGGATTACAACAAACCTGCAGCTAAACTAATTGTGCTATGATGGTTAAGGTTGTGTCAGCACTTTTCTTGTAAACCTCTTTTCCAGTGGATTTATTACTAAATAAAAAGTTTTTCAAGGGCTGAAACCTGGCATTGAAGACTGCATTTATCTTTAGAGACTCTGAAGAAGAAATTCAACTTGGCTTAATGGAAGGAAAGAAAAAAAGATGGTTAGTTTGGGATCCATAACTTTCTGCTGCTAATTTTACCAGCACCATGTATATTCTAAATTTAAAACATGTAGAGAAACATACATTGCTGATGTACCTTTATTTCAATTTAGGAGGAAAGAAAAAAACCCCTATGCAAGTGACCTTCCCAGAGTATGAATTTTTATATGGCATATGTAATGATTTTTTACTGGATATCCAAGACTAGTGCTATAAACAGGTCCAAAACATACCTGTGGTTACACAAAAGACTAAATTGCCTATGAATTACCTAATACATTTTTATTCTTTTTAAATAAAAAACAACTCTTGTGGTATGCATTTATTTCTCAATTGTTCTAATTATACTTAGAGATCTACACTAATTAGAAGCTTATTAAAAATTGTTGTGAGGCAGCAAGCAAAAGCACAAAGTCAGGAAAGAGCTGCCAAAATAGTGGGAAGTATGGAGAGGCACTAACGCTAACTGCAGCATCCCAGGGGATCTGGGATGGCCTAAAGCAGTGGCCTGCCTCCCAGTGGCAAGCTCCCTGCTGCAACCATGTAGGCAAAACCACACACCACTAAAAGGCTGGTCAACAATACCAAGTACAGAGCAAGCACTAAAACATTTATTCTGGGTTAAGACTGCTGTCTCATCACACAAACTCCTCCTCTAATACATAAAGCAAACTAAATTTAATATAAGGGCGAAGAACCTCAGTCAAAGACCAGACAATGAAACACCTAATAATACATCACCAAGTTATCTGAAGGTTGTTTTTTCTGTATTTCATGGAAACGTTACACGTGGAACTTCAGGAGATGGTCAGAAGAGCAGTATTTATTATTTAAATAATTTGTCAAATCTTCGGGTATTTGACCAATGTTCAAACAGTACTATTGAATCAGATCCCATACAAGCCTCTCATCAACATTTTGTCTGAAGCAGGATTCAAAGCATCATTCAAACTCTCTATTAATGATCTCAGATTTGGCTGGATTTTCTGTTTTCTTTAGTATCACAGCCCTACACTCTCATAGTTGATTTAACAGCCAAGTTGGCTTCTCTGTCACAGGCCCTATCACCAACAAAGGTTGGAGGCTCATTGAGGTCCTTATGGACGCCTGTGCAGTTCAAACATTCCAAGCAGTTCAGAGATAGAAAGCTGGTATATCACTGCACTGAAACACAGGATGAAAGATACTGGCACAGAATACCAATACTTTGGTAGTTAACGAACAAAAAACCCAGCCCACTACCTTTAGTTAGCTCTTCTGGAGCTGCATGCCTTGTGTGTGCCAAGAGGAGTAAAACAAAACAAAATCCATGGGTCAGTAAGTCAACACGAATAGATGAATGAACAACAGATTGGAAACACGGGGGTTCTATTTTAATAAAGGCAGGCCTTTTTAAAGAACTTCAAGTCCAGATCACCAAAGCCATTGTCTCTACTAAATGTTGCTTCAGGATCAGTTTGCATAATGATTTCCAAAACCTGATGCTACTCAGAAGTCAAGAGTCCATGGCCCTGAAAACCACTAGTTTTTAAACAGACAAGACAGAGCTGAAAGTAGTCAGCAGGGCTAGAGCAGATCCAGGCACTCCTAAACGTCAGTATCAGGACTATTGGAGCACAGACTTCTGTGGTTACAGCCCTTAGAATGGTTTTGGTAAAGGCTTTGTACATCCCTTTCTCCTTGGGAAAAATTCCTCCCTGAAAGGTTTCCTTGTATAATTAGGTAAAGCACTGGCCTTTCAACATTTTTCTTCTCTACCTCTTTATTTCCTTGCTGTAAGAGCACATTTGAGAAATAAGAATAAATGTTATAGAGGGACTACTGAGCAGCAATCCCTACCTGAGTAATGCTTCATGTGGAAGTGATTTTACAGAGGCAGACAGTGCCTGTGCTCCCAAGCAAACAACTGGAGCCATGCCACACCACATAGGAGATTAATGCTCTTTATGAAGTGGAAAAAGACTCAGACGAAGCAGACAGTGCTATCGAGAGAAGCGCATTATTTTTGCTTCAGGATGGCATGTCAGAATCCGTAAACCCCTTCCACCTCAAAAGGCATTCAACCTTTACAGTTAGGACATGCGTGCAAGGGTTTGTTCGAATGAAATGTCTCACACTGTCTCTCCTCATCCTTGTTTGCCTGCCTGGTAGGTCTCCTTCCCATTTCAGATCCTTTTGTTATACAGCATCTGCTCCCTATGCTGAATTAAGTTTAGTCCAGCGAGAGTCTGCTCAGTCAAGCTTGGCTCAGCTTCTCAGAAACAGCTTGTTGTACTGTAGTCTTGCACATTTAAAAAGGTGTGTGTACACACTCTTCATTATTTACAGCTTAAAATTAAAATCTATATATATTAAAAATCACCTATTCAAGTAAAGTACTAGGAATGCACAACAATTCTCACTTGGCTGTCAGAAAGCTTTTTTCCTCCATTTAACTGACAAGCGCTACCAAATTAAATTTGCATAGGAAAAATAAACACTTCTTACTGGAGAGAATAAAATGACAAATGATTCTAATTTGAGATTTTCTTTTAATCTTCAGTAACTATAGTGATTCAATCCCACATTAAACAAGAATTTCTTCTGCACCATACTCCACTGCAACAGCAAATCCTATAATCAGAAGGATGTCGTTTGTAATATGCAGATGAGTTTTCAAATTGTCGTCGCACTGGGCTATGACACAACATCCAGACACTACTGGTACACATTGGAATCTGAGTCCTTGTTCCTCTTACAGGAACCCTACTTAGAGCCACCAGCCTTTGGAACTCATTGCACTGGTAGTATTTAGACATACAGTAACAATTTATGTGCCCTAAGTTCTCATTACCAAACCGTAGGGAAAAAACAAAACAAAACAAAATCAAAACTGATGTTTGATGTACATGCTGTATATACAACAAAGTAGTGGGAAACTAGCAGAACCTACACATACAGGTATGTTGTAATGCTAGTTTGCACGTACAAGGCCACACTGGATAGTGTTCCCCAGTGACTTACTCCACAGTCTTATTTTTTTTTTTTAAGTCATCCACGTCTCCAAATAGATGCCATTTTGTTTTCAAAATCTCACCATAAGAGAGAGTTTCTATGTTGAAGAGCAAACCATTTTTATATAACAAAGAGAGGAAGAAAAAAAGGGGGCCTTTACATGGCTTATTGGATTTTTCCAATTATTAAGATTATAAACACAGAAGTGTTCCAAAAGCTGAGGGATATGAAATAAATATTATAAAATTCATTCCTGGGAAATATAAAATGGCTCATCTCCAAATCATTTTTAAGATCACAAATAAAAATTAAATAAATACTTGTTAATCTGCATCACAGAACTGCCCCCATGGCTGCCACAACTGCAGACTGTTTAAAGACAGCGTCAGGGAGCAGCAGGACAGGCAGACAGCCCGGAGCTGAGCGTGACAAGGTAGGCACAGGCAGCTCCTCACTGCCACAGGGCACAACCCCACAGTACCTGAGCAAAAAGAGCAGAGCTGGTCAGAAACAGCAGCCAAGGTGAAGCACGCTCCAGTGACTGCCACCCATACCTGTAGCAATGCCGCAGGTCTGCATGCAAGTTTCAAAATAGAGTCAAGATCAGGACCAGCAAGATAAGTGGGCCAACACAGGCAACAAAACTCAAGCAAGTACACCAAGATGGAGCTTAAAAGCAGCTCCCAAGGAAAAGGGGGAGGTCCCCAAAGGCTTCAGCGTTCTCTTCTCACAGCACTCTGAACCAATGTTACACAGCTGCAACCCATGAAAGCTGGCTTGGAGTACAGGCAGTCAAACCCTTAGGATAGGGGAGGGGGCTGCACCTAGGGCCCGACACCTACCAATGGAAAGTAAATGTGTAACAAAATCCACCTGAAGTCGGCAGCACCAGGTCATAGCCAAAGCACTGACCAGTACATCCACATATGTCTGGTTTCAGCTGGCCTAGAGTTAAGTTTCCCCCTAGCAGCTGGTGAGGTGCTGTGCTGTGGATTTAGGGTGAGACCAATGCTGAGAGCACAGTGATGGTTTAGCTGCTGCTAAGCAGTGCTTACACAGAGCCAAGGATTTCTCTGCTTCTCGTGCTGCCTGCCAGTGAGGAGGCTGGGGGTGCACCAGGAGCTGGCAGGGGACCCAGCTGGGACGGGTGACCCAAACTGGCCAAGGGATGTCCCACACCATGTGGCCTCATGCTCAGCAGTAACAGGGGGAGTTGGCCAGGGGGCTGCTGCTGCTCGCAGATGGGCTGGGCATTGCTTGGCTGGTGGTGAGCAATTGCATTGTGCGTTACTGGTTCTGTGTATTCTTTTTCTATTAATATTTTCCCTTTATTTTCTGTCCTATTAAACAGCCTTTGTCTGAACTCATGAGTTTTACTTTTTTCTTTTTTCTTTTTTTTCTCCCCTGATTCTCTCCCCTTTCCCACTGGGGGCAGGGGAACGAGTGAGCAGCTGTGTGGTGCTTGGCTGCCTGTTGGGTTAAACAACAACAGTAATTAATTATTAAATACCTTGAGCTTCTGGACACTGACAAACTTTGAAATGCTTTTACAGCACTCAGAACACCAGAGTGACTTATAGGATGCTGCAAGAGCCATGAAGCTACATGCTCTAGAGATGATGAAACTGATTTCAGCTATACAAATGAAGATGTCAGGATTTCCTGACTTCCATCTGGGCTGACATGGTGCATCTAGGACATCCATTCATAATGGAGGAAGATACACACATATATACACACACACTACATATATAGGTTGTATAGCCCATATTTTTCATTTTTTGCTCTAGCTTTAAGTTTTTAATATTGACATTATTTATGTCTTGTAGCTCGTATTACTCAGCTATGGACGCGGCAAAACATTTTGCTGACACAGGACATCAATTTGGTATCCTTTTTGCTATCTTGAATATTAAACATTAGCCTCCCATAGAAAAGGTGCGAGGAATATAGACAACACTGACCGGCACGTTTGTTCTGCCACTAGTGCTCCACTTACATACCAAAGCACCATCCTGAATTACAGAGGATATTTATTACTGAGCTAAAGCCTTAGTATCCAATGTGCAAAGTTATTGCCAAGGAGTACTAAATCTGCTCTGGCCCAGTGAAGAACTGAAGTTGCAGTTACAATTATTCCCCTCCCCTCTCCTCTCCTTACCCTGCAAAACAAACAACTCACCCAAGTAGTTTAAGTGTGAGCAAGAGGATGTTGAAATGGTATTTCACGCATTTTGAAGATGTGAGGTACACGTGTTGTCTCCTCACAGCAGCTGCATTTGGAATAATGGCAGAGAGGGAACACTGGGCCACACTCTTTGGAGTTCTGTTCTGAGGAAAATACATCTCATTTTTACGTACCACAGTCTCACACGACATCACTTCACACTGGAAGAATTAGTACTTTGCTAGCTACATTGAAAAGTCACCAGCTCAGTGTTATTAAGTGCTCATTTGGAGCAACATATGTGATCTGCCCAAACTACTTAACACGCGGCAAGAAGTTTTAAGCCATTAACAAGCTTGCAGTTACATATAAAAGGAGGACGGGTTTAAATAAAAATTACTTTTGAGTAGGGGAATGATTAATCATTGCTCTTCTCCCCTTCATTTGTGTTCTTAGCAAAAGTTATCAACCTTTGCACCCATATTAATGGTGACTTTTATGTGACTGTACCTGGAATTCTTAAAATTGATTAATTAGCAAGGCCACATTTTATTTGAAAGGGCAGAAGGGAGTCACATTTTCATTCAGTTCCCTAGGGAACTAATTATAAGGTCTCCTCAACATACATCACAACAAGATCTCATATATGGCACAAGTAATTATTTAGATACTGTAAATATCCTCCCCAATACTTAAAACTGCGTCAGCTGTTTGAAAGTTCCAGTAGAAACTGGTGCCTGCCTCTGCTGGGAAGTTACAAATATTCCCTGCTCAGGAAAGCCAGCAGGTACTTAGCACCACAAAATGTAAAGCCTGTCGTGTAAATTTATTGCATTCAGCGCTGCACCAGCACAAAGAAAAATGGAGAGAAAAGGAGTGAGTGGTAAAGATTACACAACTCTTCAAAAACCCATAGGTGTTTAACAACCCAGTGATGTTGTTTTCTCTCCCTTAGCTCCAATGCAGCAATCAATTCTTTCTTTTCTCTGCCCCAGAGTACGCTGGAACCCAGCAGTTTTACTGCATCAAAAATAAGAGTAGAATACAGAAAACCACATCTTGTCTAAAGGAGGAACTCTTCCCTGTCTCGCACTAGCCTTGGGGCAGGGGAGAGGATCTAGGGAGGAGCAATGGCTCCGGCTCAGCCTTTGCTGTTTGTATTCCAGCAGCTTTGAGAACAGAGTCCCAGCACACTAGTCGTACAAAGACTTTTATAAAAGTTTTGCTTAGCAGCACTTACAGCCTAGAAAAATTAGACAAAGAGTGGGAGAAATAAACCATTTATTTATACCTGGGAAGGCAACACACAGAAATTACCCTTGGTAGTACAAGGCTTCGCCTTAAGTCTGTACCAGAACTAGAAACCTGACTACCAGAAAACTGCAGTTTTCCCCCCAGAATACAGGCGCACAGCAAACACTAACACAGCCTCGGAAAGTCACACAGCTGCAAAACATCTGAGTAGCTACACCAAGGCTTACATTACTTCTTTTTTGCTCCTAGGGTTCTCAGCTTACCTAGGCTATGTTCTGATTTGCAGGATTTGCCCCCAAAGGCAAATTTTATTTGAAAAAAAAAAAAAAAAAAAAAAAAGAGGAAGGGGGAGGAGGAGAAAAAAGGGGAAAGAAAAAAAAAAAAAAAAGGAAAAGTAAGCAATTTGACTGGCTCCAAAGTTCTTCTAAATTGGATGACACAGTGTGCATAAAGCAGTAAAATAGCTTCCATAGCAACACACACTCTCTCTGCTTAGTTATTTCTAGGGCATCTGTCACTGACTCTGTTCCCTGAAAACAGTTGCAGGGAGTGAAGGTTGCTTGCAGACTTGTAAACAGCCACCTACGTTATTTTAGAAGTGCATCTGTATTATTGTCAGAATGTACCTCGCGAAGGCAAGCAGCAGAGAACTGCTGTTCCAAATTGATTATAATACAGATTTATATTTCCCAGCATCTCCCAAACAAAGACTTCAATACAGCCTACAAATAGACTACAAGAAGCCCTGCAAGAGCCCAATATTATGGATTAAACTTCCTGATGCCAGGAAGATTAATTATACAGGATGACGCTGGCTAGCACTACGTCTTGTATTTCTGTGTCTAAGCAGAAGACAAGGCTTTCCACCGAGGGAAACAGACTTAAATATTTCTCACTATCCACTTTTTCTGAATGTATGTCAAATGCTTTTAAATATTAAGTTGCCTTCACGTTATAACACAACAAACTAACAGCAGAAATTGAAGTCCAACATGTGCACCAAATCACAAAAAATTGTGCCCTTATAACGCTTTAGTTAATGTGTAATATTTGTCTTCAAAGATTTTCTTGTATTAGTCCACAAGTTACACAGTATCAGTAGCTCTCTTCATTTCTATCACCTTGGAAACACCACTATGTTCAAGAAAACAAGTCCCAGGAATATAAATATGGATTTACTACTTGTAATACAATAAATTTTTAACTCAGAATATTCTATTTCATGTTCTTTAGGAATCTTTCAGTAACTGGGAAAACTAATTCTCATTTTCTTTTAATTCTCTATCTGAGCAATAGCAATAGACAGTGATTTTTGTAGATTATAAGCACAGAGAGAAACAAATGCAGTCTGATGAGCACATAACATTTCCCTCAACAACAGAACTCAGGACTTCTGAAAAAAATAATAATAAAAAAAAAAAAACAGTCCACATTTGTGTGAATTGTGATTTTAATGTTAAATACTACATTTAATAGGAAAAGTTGTTTATTTTTTAATACGACTGAAACATACACATAGGAGAAAATGCCAGTTAACAGTGCTATAAAGAGCTCCAGGACATATTGGCAGCTACTGAAATCAATAAGTAACACTCCTTACTTCACACAAAAAAACTATCTGCTGTTCTCTGCCATTTAATATTTTGCTACAAAAGGCAGACTGAGAAGCTATAGTATAAATTGTTGGTTTGTTTTTTAGTAAATAACACTGAAAGAGTCATCAAGTATACACATCAAGTGCACAGTAAGGAGTTTTAATGTTTTTGTCTTCTGGTTATTTTGTAGTCCACTATTGTATTCATTGAGCAATGAGTCACCGGAGAAGAAATGAAATGTTCTGCACCTGAGATAACAAACGTATTAACAAAAAAGAAAAAGGAAAGGAAGAAATCTGAGAAAGAAGAAAACTTAATCTGTTATTACTTAGTCTTCGTCCAAAGCAGCCAGTGAGTTGACCTTTAGAGCATGCAGAAACCCCATCTAGTTGTAATGACATTTGGAAAGAGGCATAATTTGATGAGAGCTGCAGACAGCACAACTTAGGGCATTCTACTAATGTTTACTCTTGCAATGAGTTTAATTACTTTGCTCTCACTTATGCCAATGTTGCTTACAGTCTTGGAAAGAGCTTTGAGGGTTCAGCAAAAGGGAGAACGTACAGAATCACAGAAAGTGGGGGAAACTGCCATGAGGGCTAAAGAGAAATGTCAAGGAGAGACACACTTACAGAGTATGTCAGAAAAGTCTCATTATGGGTACATGCTAGGAGTCTTTGGTAAAGTACAGAGTCCCCCATTTAACATTCTTTTAGTATCAACAGTAGCAAATGAAAACAGCAACAAAATGCAAGTCTCATCTCATTCTGGTTGCACACTAAACCGTCACTTCCACTGCTTTGTTAGCTCCT